CAACCTTGAGGACCACTGAATACTCCTGTCGCCAAAACCAAGGTACATCCCTCCGAACTGCATCTTTGGGCGGATACAGAAAGTGCTGCAGTGGAGTGCGGGATGCACCTTAGGAGACGGGAGGGAGTGGGACAGGGCGCACAGGCCTTGGGTTTTGGCCTTCAGGGTGGGGGTGACCACTCCCTTCCTTATTCTTTGCTTGTTGTCTTAGTTTCGGAGAGCTGTGTTTCTGAGGCCCTCCTCCCCCGCCTTTCTTGGAGATTGAGATAAACAGATGGAAATAGTGTGTAGAGGAGGCAGAGCGAGTGCATGCTTCGTCTCAGGCCGCATTCACATAGGTGGTGTCTGTGTCTGAAGCGGCAGGTTTGTCCGACTCGAGCTGTGAGGTCATCTCACGTCCGTCGATGGGAATCTCTTCAAAGCCGCTCGCGTGTGTTGATGAAGGTGCTAATTGGCCCGGAGGAACGGAGGCTCTTGTAGTTGACATCCTTAAACTGGTTTTCTTCTAGATGTAACTGTGTCACTGACACGATCTGTAGGTTTCCATGTATACGCACAGTCGTACACACGTGTGCACGGAGGAGCACACCTATGGATAGTGTGGTGAGCCCCAGCCCTCGCTCACCAGCTCTCCTCACCTGCTCCCCGCGGGCTTGTGCTTCTGCGGTTTCTTCAGTTCTCACGAGGCTCCCGTGAAGCGCTGTGTTCCTGCCCTTTCCACCCAGGGGCTGGCGACTCAGACCGGGCGCTCAGTCTTCCCAAAGTGAGCCTCTGGGCTGCGGGCCGCCTTTAGGCTGCCTTTCGGCCGCCTGTCCCCGTGCTTGATGTGCCTGCCCCAAGCTGCTGCGAGGGAGGCCCCAGAGCGCATGGGCTCGCTCACTGGCCGTGGCCGGGGTCTGACTCTCGGCCAGGCCCTGCCAGCGACCCCTGCTGCTTGTCTGTTTTTTTTTTGTTTTTTGTTTGTTTTTTTTTAATTTTTTAAAATTTTCTGCTTCTTCAGCAGTGACTGAAAGCTGTCAGTTGTGTTACTGTCTGGCTCACTCAGCGATTGGGTGGGTGAAGCCTGCCTTCTGCCCAGCAGGTGGGGCAGTGTGGCCTGGGTGCAGAGGGGACCAGTGGGAGCTCTGGGGAGAGGGCACCCCGTCCTGCAGAAGGAGCTGGCAGGGAAGTTCCCGCGCTCGCCTCTTAGTCCTGCGCTCAGCTGTCTTACAGGTTCTCCTTAACTCACGGGCTGTCCTGTGGGTTGTAACTGGTTGTGACTGCTTACAAGCCAATGCACTTGTCTTTCCTGCGACCTGTAAGGCCTGATCTCCAGCACGTAGCTGGATGGTCTCTCGTACAGGCCGGTCTTCGAGGAACATCTGCCCTTCACTGAGAGACGAGGGACACACGTAAAACATAGCAAAACCGCACAAACATGCTGCTGCTGCTTGTCCCCTTGGCTTGAGTTCTGGAAAAACTGTCTGTGCAAAGCTGACTTGTGGCCCTGCACCGAATGCCCTGACTCGGGCGTGTGAGGGAAAGCTGATGTGCCGTGGCTCTTGGCACATGTTGCTTTCCACATCTCTTCCCCTGCAATCGTGTATTGTATCTTATTTACTTAAATAGATCAGTCAGATAATCTTTCATGACTCTTAAATGGAAATAATTCTGCAGTGATCAAACCTTAGGGATTCAAGGAAGAGGTTCTGATTAGATCCATCGATTGTGTAGGAGAAATTCATTTCAAATTAGAAGTTAAAATATGAAATGCTGGTACTGAAAAGTAGAAATCTCTAATTAGGATGTAAGTGTTACTACTGTGCTGCTCTTTTGACACCAAAAACAATTTTAAGTGACGCTATTTTAGGCAATTGTAGGTACTTGGAAATCAATCATATTTAAAGAAAAGCATAGTTTTTTATTTCAAGGTGTTCCTTTAGATTGCAGGGCGTTTGTAGATGGAAAGCCTCAGAGAATATGTTCTAACATGGATCTTGCCCTTGACCTCAAGACCAGAGGTTGGCCTCTTGTTGGATACCCCTCTCAGAGTTCTCCCCACTCATCCCCTGCCCCAGTCCTGTCCCTCTGGCTGCTCTGAGCCACATGGCAGGGAGTCAGACCCTGGGCCTGGGATGCCTCCCCTCTCACTGGTGTTGTAGCTCCCCCCACCACCCTCCACTCTGCCCTGTCCTCCCTAGCCTTCCGCTGCCTCTGCCTCTGAGAGCAGCCCCCGCTCCTGGGCTCCCCCACAGCTGTCCTGGCCGCCCTGCCTTCTGTGGCCTGCTATTCCCCGCCCCGTCCCTGGCCCGGCCCCTTGCCCCCTTCATACACAGACCATGTTCCGGAGCCGTCGGGTGTAAGATTCTGATTCCGTCCTGACCCTTCAGATCTTCCTTCTTGGTTTGTTTGTTTTTTTTCTCCTACCGCTTATCATAGTGTTTAAGATGCTGTATGTTTTACATTTTGTTCTTGTCTGTTTCCATCACTAGTTTTCACGTTTTCTGAGGCAGGGTCTCTAGTTTTGTCACTGTGCTCTGGAGTGGGTCCAGGTAGGTGACTTATTGTGTGCCCGAGTGCCCAGCGGTGTCCTTGCTGGGGCATGGTGGGCTTGCTGCCACCTCCTCCAGAAGCCACGCGGTGCAGAACGAAAGCTCCGTGCAGGCCCAGCTCTGATTTTACCCGTGAGTGACCAGTAGACGTGCAGAAACACAGTGAGTGCACAGGCATAAGTGTTCATCAGGAGCCAGGAGTTGCGACTGTATAGCTTCTCAGATTTGGGACTGTTTTTGTCTTATTTCTGGTGATGTATAGATGATCAAATTTCCAGAGCGATTGCTGTGTTAAAATATGAAAGCAAGACTATGTTGACGGCAGTGAGAGGTAGACTACATTCAGTAAACACAGATTGCTGGCAATATCCTGTTCAGATAGGTTGGTAAGATGATTTTAGTCATGCTTGACTTGTACCTTTTAATTGAGGATGACTTTGGGACTTCGATGCTACTTGTACTTACGTATTCCAAATTTAAAGACTTTATACTGACTTTAAATCAGATTTTGGATGAATGAACATTTTGCATTTGAGTATAATTGAGCTGTACTTTAGTATTATAAAGTTCTCCCATAATAAAACTTGTTATTCCTCCAGATGTTTAGTCTACAGACATTCAGCAAGCAGTTTAAGAGTTATATTAGGCAGAAGCTTTCCCTCTCTGTGTACTTCAGTCTGTTTCCCCGTGAAGTATAATATTTGTGTTTCAATTCTTAAAACTTACACATTTTAATTAATAAAAGTTTCTTCTTTCAGGAACTGCCCTGTGGTTCTAAGCTCACATCTCTTAAATTATACTTAGTCATGTAAATAAGCTGTGCTTTGCAACTTTGGGTTCTTAACCTTTGCTCTTTGCTATTAGCTTTATGTTTTTTTAATTATAAGAAAATAGAGGACAGTAGGGAAGTTATGACTTAAATGGACTGTTGTTATTACTGCATTCTTTTTTAAGGAAATGAAAAATGTTATTTATTTTGTCCAAATCAAGCAGAAACAAATAAAGAATATCTTGTACTGTTATTTTTGCTAAGCCTTTAATATCATCACAGTTTGATTCTTTACATGTAATCGTTATTTTTCCATTTTAATGATTGATAGTGTGCTCAGTTATTTATAGTGTCAAGCCTGTATTGTCCATAGTTATTACCTAATATATAAAAAAGAATGAATGCCGTTTTCAGTATATACAAATACAGTATTTGAATAATGAACTCACAGTCACTTAAAAATTACAAATATATTATTTTAGCCTCAAAACTGAGATTCTCTAATATTATAGGAAAAGAACCAAAATAGACCAGACATGGGGGGCGGGGGGGAGAGGTGTTTATCTTTTTCGAAATTCTTTCAGTCTTAGCGGTTGGCAGGTCTCTTCTATAAGGCCATAGTACTTTACCGCCTTACATTGCCTGTTTGTGTAAACATGTCCAGATGAATTCAGTATTTAATGTTAAGAATCTTATAACATGCCAATTTGATTTGTAGCCCTTCATATCATAGAATGCTAATTAAAATCATATTTTTGCATATGTCATGCCTTTCATGTACATATGCAAATAGATTCTGTTGCCTTTCAGCTATTGGTAATTAACTTTATGAAGGACAGCTGTAATACATAATTAACAAAAATGTTTGCAAGCCCTTTTACTCTGAAAGTTATAACATTAATTTTTTTTTTTTGGCTTATCAAGAGAACCATTTTAGTCTGATGCTTCTGAATGAGATCTAAATTGTTCTAAATAATCACACGATGTAATTAAATTGATGTTGTAATGTGTTCAGAAGGAGACTGGTGTTCCATGGACTGACTTTTGATTCCTGTACGTTTCATATTTATGTCCTCAAAATTGAATTAAGTAAGCTGATTTGTGTATAAAATAAGATAGCGTGTCAGATAATACTTTTTGTTTGTTTTAGTTATTGATATCTTCTTGGCGTTGAAGTACTTTTTTTTTTTTTTTTGCATGTGCCACAGACACACTAGACACTTACATCATTTTTAAAACCTCTTTTCAAATTATTACCATGTTTTCAAGGAAGCTTCATGGAGGCTATCTATTTTCTCTTTACAGTCCCTTAAATATTTAATAAAATGACATTTTCTCAAACTCCTTCCATGGTTGAAGTGTGGGATCAACTAAGGGGCAGTGAGGATTACAATGTCCGGAGTCACTTTGTCTCTCTAAAGACGGGGAAGGCAGTGACTGAGGTACAGTCATTGTTTCCACCCCTGTTCGCACACCAGAGGAAGACAATGAACCAGTTCATTTAAATACGGTTATTTCTTCTGGTTTTCAGGTATCACAGTACATGTGATCTGTACGCAAGCGTCTTGTTTACCAGGAGGGCTGCTGTAATGTGCAGTTTCATGTTAGATTCGCATTTCAGTGCCTTTTAAGTACTTTGTGGATATGCTTTTAGCAGAGTCACGTTTTAGTTCTGTAATTATTGTTATTTCTTTCTTTAGGGTTGCTTTTGTCATGAAGAAGCACTTAAATACGCATCTCCTAGGCAAGCATGGAGTTGGCACCCCAAAAGAAAGGTAATTTTCGCTCATTTTAAAAAATTTAATAAGTATGATTATATTTGCATTTTAGGCTTTGTTTAATGGTGTGAGTTCTAGAATTGATATCAAGTCAGTTTATCATGTTTAGCATTTCCGGTACTCTGTGGTTGGATGTCGTATTTCATACCATTCTTCCACAAGAATTTAATGTCATTTTAATTTTAAAATTCAGACCTAAAAATATTTGAAAAGGTTTGAGGGCCTTTGGATTTGTGAAATTGTGAAATAAACTTGAAACAGTAGAAAAGTTTATTTAGGAGGGGATTGACCTCTGCACTGTGTTTGGACGAGCTAAAATAGTAATGTAAAAGTAGACTTTGTCTGTTTTTTCCTGCATTTTTATTTTGAGGTTTTTAAACAGTATTTTTAAATTCTTACTGTAGAATTAAGCATTGCTGATACTAAAAAAGAAATACATCTTGTGTCATCCCCAAAATAATACTGTAGTTGCCATGTCATGAAAAATAACACTACAATTATTATGTCATCAACTGCCAGGCTTTCTTTTTTCCTGATACTGTATCATAATTAGCTTCATCACATAGACTTAATTATATTAAGGTGAGCAGAAGTAGAGCAATGTCAGCTAGCAGGTGAGTATGGCTACTTCTAAAATTTTTGAATCTGTAAGATATGCAGCTCACTCAGAGCTGGTGAAAATTCTTCTGTCCTTCCTTCAGAGACATAGTCGATTCCCCCCAATTCTCTACGACGGTATCTGAAACTCTGTAGACACTCCCAGAAACCTTTGGCTTTTAGTAATTTTCTAAGATGCAAGTAATGATGTAGTCCGTTCCGTCAATCTGCAGCCTATGGCCTCCTAGATCTTCTTCCTTACTTGTAAATGCTTAATTCCCTTTTTAAAAACTTGAAAATGCTCTTACCAACATTTTCTGTGTTTACAAGCAATTTGACTTGATTGTTCTGTCGAAGGCATATCGCTTTCTTTAGCGTTTTGGTTCGGATGTGACTGCTGGGGCAGAATGCTGGTGTCACGTATGCCTACTCTTTACCTTTTGACTTCTGGTACTTCTCTTTGTAGCATGATATTTAATTTGAGCCAAACTGTATGTGTTGGGCATATCCTGAATGTATAATTTGTGAAATTCAACATATTCTGTATTACTTACATTATGATTTGGGATTTGTCTAAGTTATGTTTCATGAATGTGTAAGGAAGCAGAAACAAAACATTTTTAAGTACTATATTTTGTTGCTTTTACATGCATTATCTCAGTTAATCACTCTGTGATGTTATTAAGAGTGCATTATTATTCCAGGTTTTTTGATCTAAAGCCTGAGATTCAGGAATTTGCAATAATTTATGTAGTGTCTTATAATTAATGAATGTTAGAATTATTTTTCTGACTCTAATCCCATTGTCCTTCCTTGGACTAATTATCTGACACCGAGAATCTTTACAATTGGGTACTTAGGGATTTTGTTCCCCAAATAAATTTTGAATGAAAACAGTCTAGATCATATGATTAATAAAAAGAAAATACCTCCCTACTGTAATTCAAATGCGTCGTTTTGCTTTTTATCTAGGAATGAATAAAGGTTAAAAAAGTGTTCATATCATTTCATACTGATGAAAACTTCATCACTATATACACAGTGTTCTCCTCCAAGCACCTAAATACAGTAGGCATCTCCTGTGACAGGAGAGTGAAGATCTCAGCTGCACTGTTCAGTTCCCATCACCTTTTCTGTGTGCTCCAGGAGCATTTGCTTGTTTCTACTCATCTCAGCCCCTGGCACCTGTGGGGAGGCCGCACAGAGGCAAGAGGCATGTCTGTCTTCCCTTTGAGACGTGTTAAGCTTTTTCTCTGGCCTAGACACAGTTTTGGTTCCAAAATTGGGAAAGGCAAGTGGGAAGGCACGGACCCTGTCTTCTGGGTCCTGAGCCCCTCGAAGTTCAGGCTGTCGAGTTCCTCTCAACTGGACATCTTCCATTGAATTGTTGCTTCCATTAAGACCTCTGTGTTTCAGAATACTTCTCGTTTAGGATGCCTCGTCTTATGCCCAGAAATAGTCAGAAGGCCTGGACCCCACGGCAGTAGACATGTGGAGTTGGGGAGGGTTGCATTCATGTAGCGAAGTCTAGCACAGTCAGTGCCAAAGGGCTCCCATTCCACCTTCCTCCCTGCCTCGCAAAGGGAATTGATGCCTTTTAATGGTTTTAGGAAACAAAGAAACTCTTTATCAGCATGTTGAACCATCACTTTTGGGCATAAGTGTTCTCTAAATTAAGTTAAACATTTTTTTCTTACCTATTTAAAACATTAATGCCTTGGCTATAATTTTGCAAGCTTGCTATATTTTAATTTCTCCAGGACAAAATAATCAGCTTACTTTTTTATGTTTTAAATTTGATTCTCCCCTCTTAGGCATTGCATATTATAGCAAATAGTAATAGAAGTTAGCCAAATAGGCTGTGACAATTAAATTAATAATGCATTTTGTTTGCAGTATTTAGGCCTTGTGCTTTGACTGATATATGCAAAAATGATAATTTATTACAAATAAATTCGTATACTTGAACTGTTTGATCAACCAGTAAATTTTGTCAGCATGACTGTCGTTAGCAACAGAAAGCTAGATAATTTCAAATATATATGTTTTGACTTCATGAACACCTGAAGTGATGGCTTGTGTAAGAACAACTTTTTTTTTTTTTTTTTTTTGGTCCCTAAATTTGCATGAACTTATTTTAAGGTAGTAAGTACACTACTGTATTTCAGAAGTCTTGTACACTTAAATATAAAGAACTAAATATAGCCACATTTGATTTACATTCCAAAATAATAAACTCCAATTAATTGGCAAGTTCATTCTGAAGTATTTCCTATTTTAGAAAAGTAATTCTGTTTGTAGTATAGTAAGCCAAAGTATCTTTATGACTCTTTGAGTTTGCTAACAGTAATGTAGAAAACGAGCCTAGGCACACTTGCCGCAACCTCCAGGCCATAGTAAGTTTATCTCCTGTGGAAGCCAGGTGCGTATTATAATGCAGAAAGCTGGCATTCCTACTTGGAAGTCAGCTGGGCTTTGAGTGACTGTAAAGAGGAGAAGGGAAGGGGCTCCCTGGGAACCGGAATTGGTGGTGTCCCAGTGCCAGTGGAAGTTAGTGGCCCTGACAGTGTCTTGGGAGGGCTCTTCCGCCAGCCTCCCAACTACTTTTACCAGTAGAGGATTTTAAATTGTATCTATGCATCAGAGAGTCTAAGAGCTAAATAATTTCATAATCAAAGGAAATGTACCTGTTTTTTCAAGTTATTAATGAATGGAAGTATTTTTTTTTTGGTGAAGCAGTTTTGGAAGCATACGCTCAGGTTACAAGGCTCAGCCTTGCATTATTGTCCACTTGGGGGTGTTTAGCCACCCCCTCCCCCGGGGGGGTGGGGGGCTCAGGGCTGATCAGTCCTTTTGTTCAGGTGAACGGATTTTCCCCAGACTTCCTTCAGACTCCTGAACTCTTTTCCTTCCGGCTGGCTCTAGCTCCTCATTTGGCTCTAGCTCCTTTTTCCAGACACTTGGGATTTGTGGCTGGCCATCTCCCTTTCCATGGTGCCTTTGATCTTACTGATGAGTGCAGTCTTCCCCCCCACCTGTTTCTGGGTTCCAGGTGTCACCGAGACTAACTGTGGGTGGAAGCCCTGGCAGCTCTGACACTTGCTTCTCCTTTGCTCTGAGCCTGGGGACTGCACTGGACGTCCCCTAGGCATTGGGTCGGCCTTGTCTCCTCTCCTTTCTCAGAAATGTTTATATGTTGGAATTTTATGAAAGCATCACTGTTTACTGCTTTTCAGTTCAGATGGAAATCACCGTTTTTCTTGAAACATGAAAGTATCCCAAACCCAGACATTCCTAGAAAAAGCATGTAGATGTGCACATGCAGTTGGCTTTGAAATTTTGCCAACAATAGTTTGGGGTGATTAGAACTTAGGTTACATTGATCTATCTGTCTATTTATCTAAGGATTTTATTTATTTATCTGAGAGAGAGTGAGCCAGAGAGGGCAGGAGCAGGGGGAAGGGGCAGAGAGAGAGGGAGCAGCAGACTCCCTGCTGAGCTGAGCAGGAAGCCAGATGCCAGGCTTGATTCCAGGACCCTGGGCACTTGACCTGAGCCTAAGGTAGAGTTCACCAACTAAGCCACCCAGGCACCCCAAAAACTTAGGTTACTTTTCAATGAGAGAATAGCACATTTTATAAAAACTCTGAATGACATTTATTTAAACAGTTTCAAATTTTTCCTGCCAGAAGAGTGTGAGATTAACTCCTCTTACTGTCACTTGATTGCCCATTTGAAAGAAAGTTCCTTTGGCTAAGTTATCATAATTGCATGCATTTTATTTATTAAAGGGTCATCATCAGGGCGCCTGAGTGCTGCATTGGGTTAAGCCTCTGACTCTTGATCTCAGCTCAGGTCTTGATCTCAGTGTCCTGAGTTCAAGCCCCAGGTTGGGCTCCACTCTGGGTGGTGGGTGTGTCGCCTACTTAAAAAGAAAAGAAAAAGGACCATCATCTTCCTCAGTGTTTATTCCTTGTGGATTTCTGTAGGCTAAACACTGTTCTGTTCTACCACTGAAATGGGTAGCTTACTCTCATGGACGCACTGAGATCCTTTACTCTGTGTTGAATGAGCATCACATGATCTCTGTGGAGGGCCATTGTCAAACCTGTCAGTTCCTTTCTGTCTGCCGGCCTCGGGATTGCTCTCACCCTTACTCACCTACTGTATATTGGTCTCCCTCTTATTTCTTCTTTTACTCTAGCGGCTGGCAGGGTGTTTTTTTTTTTTTTTCTTTTTTTTATTTAGGAAGAATAAAGCAGTTAGGGACTCTTCTCTGCTTTTATATATATATATATATATAGAGAGAGAGAGAGAGAGAGAGAGAGATTTTTCTGGTGTATATATATATATGTGTGTATGTATATATATATATATATATATATATATATATATATACA